CTAAGTATCAGTGAGTAGAGCAGACCAGTCAACTAATTTTCTTTGTCTAGTTTTGTTGAGTTTGACTATTCAGATTCAAATGTCATCTATGATACTGTTTACTTTGCTGAAATAAATCAATAATCCGTAATATGCAGTCAGAATCAAGCAGAAAAAGCAATTTCTTAAATCACCTTCGTTATCATAATTGTAACACGATTAACTCAGCGTGTTAAGCGCTAACTACTCTTCAGATAACTTGAATTCAGGTATATCTTAAGAAGTATTCCAGCAGTTGGTGTGTTCATGGGCAGTAGTTTTGCTCAAAATATTGCCGAAATACCAAAACATCATTGTGTGTAAGCAACTATTAAAAAAGAATTATAGTTAATTTAAGGTGTATCTTTTTTATCCTGGTTTTATTTATTTTATATCATTTCTATACCTTATGTTCTCATTACTTTTCTTAACAATTCAAGGCACTTAAGCTTAAAAGTTGGCTTTTATATCTGTCTGTTAACTCTGAATAAACCATGTGTATATTCTGTAATCATAATCCAACTTGATAACATTTTCCTCCATTTGTAATGCACATAGCCACTGAATTCAAAAAAGGTAATATATGGATACAGTTGTGTACTCTTTGGATATATATATGTCTATATATATACCAGTAGGGTGCAGCTGGTCGGGTGTGAGGACAAATACTCGCCGAAGACATTGGCTAGCGCTTGCGCTATATCGTGAATTGGCAGAAGTTAGAATTCATGGGCCACTGGATCGGGTCCCAGTGTCTCAATGGCCTACGAGCTCGCCTTGTAACCAGAAGGTCCTGGGTTCGAATCCTGGTGGGTGCGTACTAATGAAGAGTCCCAAACTAGGACAAAACAGCTGTCCAGTACTCCCTGCAGGTTTTCCAATGGTTCTCTAACCAATGTCAGCTCATGATGAAATCCTGTAACCCATCAAGACAAATCACTACAAACCAATACTTGAATATATCAAATTATTTAGTTCAGAGACTGAATTAAAGCATTTTCTACCAATGAAAAGAGTCTCACTAAAGATAAGTATCATAGCACAATAAATCGCCAGCACCAATGTTTATTCTATCTCTATTCACATTTAGAAAGGAAAGAATTCGTGTATGAAGTTTGTCAAGAAACGTCTCGCTACCAATTCATTCAAATCACTAGATCAATTAGCGACCATATGTTGGAATTCGTGTATGAAGATACATCATAACGCCGATTGCCTACCACTCATTGTAGAAGGTATTGGTTGTAAAGTTAGTAACACAGATGAGTCATTAAAAAGCAAATATCTTGCCGTTCACACCCTGTTACCGTGCAAAGTCTATTGATAATGTTTTTAGTGAAATCGCCAATCTACGCGGTTTGTAGATTCTAAGGAAAGATGTTCCTTAGGATTAAAAGGTTATACATAAACATGATACAAGAATAAGTAATATATAATGCCTACCATTGAAGGACAATTGCAATCCAGAAAGTTATCCTACCTAATGATATAAAATAATCCATGCCATTGACTGGTAAAGTTAGAGAAAGAATGGTTGTAATGATTGAATTTTTATTATTATTTTCCTGATTGTTTTAATTTTCTTACTTTTTCAAAAATTCCATGTTTCACTACAAAATATTTTGAAATAAATTTTTTTTGTGTTCGTGAATTGGAAGAGGTTAGAATTGATGGACCATTAGATTCGGTTCCAGTGGCTAAATGGTCATTAAGCTGACATTATAACCTGAATGTCTTGAGTTCAAGCCCTGGCGGGACGATAGGTGCGTGCTGTGAAGAGTCTCGAATAGGGACGAAACAACCACCTGGTTTTCTCTGGTTTTCAATAATTCTCTGACTGAAATCGTTTTGTGATCAAACTTGATTATAAGATTTATTAAAACAGACATGCACTAGTATACTATTAAATTGACGGATTATTGTAATTAGTTATTTCAATTTTTGGAAATTGCATAAATATTACTGAGGATTTATCAGCCAACAACATTATAACTATTAATTCACTAATGCGGTTTAATAATAATAATGTTAAACATTTGGAATATTTATGATTATTTGTGAAATGGCGAAAGATGTTTTAGCATGAAACGTGAAATGTTTGACTCTTATTGAGATTCAAATTCACGCGCCAGGTAGCAAATAAAATCAAACACCAGGGTGACTCTTCATTTTTAACATGTGATATTAAATTACCCCAGCACATTACATCAACAACAGGTTTCAGAGTGAAGCAAAATTTCCTGGGGATATGATGGAAGCTCTGAGGCAAATGCTGAGTCATCTCATCTGATATATCTATAACCAGTCACATAATGGGGAGTAATTTCGCGTCTCATAAGAACTAAAATAAGCTCTGTTTATGTTCACTGGCCTTTAATTTCTTGTCTAAGAAAGAATGATCCTAAATACTCCAATTCGAATGAGTACTATTTAAACACAAGCAAAAACGAAGTATTCCTGATGCAATAAGTTGAATATGGAAGCAAAAAAAATCTTGAAAATAAAATTCTCTACGTTTACCTTTGAAGCCTTAGGCCTAGACAATGTCTATGAAGCAATATTCTGTTGTTACAGACTAGCAAATACTCTGACGCTGTCCAGATAAATACACCTCATAAAATCTTTATCTAATGCATAAGTTAAGGTCAGTTATCTACAGAACACATATTAATTAGGTCATTTCACATGAACATCAAAATGGACTATGTGGCTACAATTAGCGTCCTGTGTACGGTATGCTCCAAATCTATTTCATTTTTCCCGCAAGTATAATTCCGACCAAATGTCTTGTTACTGAAATCGATTTAACAGAAAAATTCATTCACAGTTATGAGAAATATTTAAGTTGATTAAATGGCGAGGTATTTTCACGCATAGTAAAACAAACGCTGCAATAGATATTTATTTTTTTTTAAATCTTTTTTTATTATAGCTGGGTTTCACACTGTATTTTTTGGTACAAGTATGGAATTTTCAGCATGTGATATCGGTAGCCCAAATTTCGCAGACCAACCAATTGATATCAGTTGTGCGTCAGCAGGAGATCGTACTCCGGGCCATGTGCATGGTCGGCGAGAGTCCTAACCACTGTGCAGCTATGTAAAAAAAAGAAAGTTCCCCATACACCTTTAAAACAGTCAAACCTACCTAACACCTCACATGATTACAGCATTTTTCTGTAGGCATGTAATACAAAATCGACTACTTGAAGTTAAGCAAAAATATTCATTCAGACATCTATGAGACACAAAATAATCGAGCGAAGAATATTCTTTTCGATAAATTCCTATTCCGGCTCCACAATTCTATATATGTTTATATACATAGACTATTTTAAATTAGTAGTTAATAACAATATTAGCGTTTTTTTAAATAATATGGATTTGTAAAATATGATCAATGGAATTACAGTTCATTAAAGATGATTAAACTATAATAATAATAATAATATAATAGCGAATAGAATATCAAAAAAAAATTAGGGAAATTCCACAAAAATTCTGGATTATTCAAACCTGGATGGCCAAGGTAATGATAATGACTGAACAAACTTCTTTTGGATGCATAAATTAGGCTTATTAATATGGATCCCCACAGCCTCAGCAATATTTAGTAGTCGAACTCTTAAAGCGAAATTGAGATTCGTAGGTATGCGGTAAATGACCCTGAAGTAACCTTGAAGTAACTCAAATCGTGACTGCCTTATTTCTACTTATTCAAGTATACTGAGAGATGAAAACGTAGCAATTTTCATTTGCCATAAGATATATCCCCACTTAGGGTGAAATACTTTACTAATCCATATTTTACAGATCATGAAGATCAGGTGTTTTTTAAGAAAAAAACATGTTGAGTCAAATATTCATATTGTACTCAGGTTAAAAATACAAAAAGCATTAATTGTAAACTCAAAAGTGGAAAAAATTATTTATAATATCACTTCGATTAAACACAGTAAAAATATTTGAATAAAGCAAGAACAACAGTGGTTTGTGCAGAATATTATGGTACCATCATTTATTTCGTTGGCTTCTCATCAGCTCAGCTGCTTACAGCCTAAATAAATTATGAGGTTTATGTACAGAAAAGTTTTAACATACTTGCAAATTTTACATGTTGTCAGTTGACAAAAAGTTCCACAGTAAGTGAACAGTGCTCAGAAAATTGCGCTTAAATAGTTTTTACACAGGCAGTTCAAGTTTAAACAAAATAAATGTATGCATACAATGGTAAAGGTGTTACATAATAAAGACGAAATATGCGTTAGATACAGAGTGACTAATAAATTAGGTAACAATGTACTGAGTTCAACTCAAATCATAGAAACAAGAGACAAGCAAAATTACAGATTATATAAGGGGGTGAGGTAAAGACAAAGATTACGTAATCAGATGAGAGAATAAAGACATTCAGTTACCAGGGCAAGGAAAGCTTAATAACTGCTTCTTTCTGAATGCATAAATCTGGTTTCAAGCGTTTCATTGAAATTGCTTCGGTAAACTTGAGGAGAATGAAACTTCTTTATCTATTGATAATTTTAAAGGATTTCTCGATTTCTACCTCATGACCCGTGTCCAGAAGATGTCTGGTAATAGCGCTACTATAAGAGTTTGTTCCCTTGAGACGTAGGTTTTTAGGCACATGTTCAGAAAATCGGAGGTGTGCCCTTCTTTCTGTTCTCCCAATGTAACTGCTCCCGCAGATACACGTGTATCTGTTCACTTATTGTGGAACTTTTGTCAACTGACAACATGTAAAATTTGCAAGTATGTTAAAACTTTTCTGTACATAAACCTCATAATTTATTTAGGCTGTAAGCAGCTGAGCTGATGAGAAGCCAACGAAATGAGCAATGATGGTACCATAATATTCTGCACAAACCACTGTTGTTCTTGCTTTATTCAAATTCATCAAGGGGAATAAATACAATAAAAATATTTATTCATTTTGTAATATTTCAATACAGTGAATAATGAACATACCTTGAATTATGCCTTCTTATGCATGTAAGATATTTTCCCGAAATTCAACATTACTACTGGTATATCTCAAATAATAGCATACATCAATTTAGCATAGAAATTAATTAACCTTATATATATATATATATATATATATATATGAAGGCAAATTCGAAAGAAGCAACCAATACAATCTGGTTATTTTGAGGATTTGTCTACTTGTCTAGTCTACTTTCGTTAATTAATTCATTTATTAGTCCAATCATGTTTAAACAAAATATTTACGCCATTTCGTTGCTCAGCCATTTACACTTGTTATTACTATTATTATTATTATTATTACCACTAACATTATTATTTTTATTATTACTATTTTGACTAATGTCATTCATTACTCATAGAACAAGGCTTCCATATTTCTTCAGACACAATACTAATAAGTTTTGTGTGACATAAACAAATATAGAATACATTTCAATATATATATATATTATTCATCGTAAATACACTCTGAGGTAATCATTTTGAGGTGTAAAACTAATCGATATAAGGATAGTAGTAATGCTTGATAATCATAAACGTTCATATGAATAAATTAACCATAAATCTCACTCAGGTTTTTGATAGATTTACATTGACTAACCACTTTTGTTTTCCTAAATGAAACAAAATCAATAATAATAATGTTTAGAAGAGAGTTAGGTGGGAAAAATGAAGTATATTGATTTAAAATTGAGTAAGACGGGGAATTATCTAATAGTTTATCATCCATCGTGCATAAATTAATTAGTCAAGTTTCAATTCTACACGGTAATTATAAGGGCATCATTTTTCACTGGAATCTGTAGGTGAATTCATCAAATTGTGAATATATTAACAAATACTATTTACTGATCGTGATTCTTCTCAGAAATTTGTTGGAAAGAAGAAATTAATTTCACATTGGGCAGTAGAAATTCCTAGTAGTGATGAATGGGGTACGATTTCAGATACACTTTGTTCCTACAGCAGTTTTGAAGAAGCCAGTGTTTTGTAGTGATATATACATATTCAATTGTTTCAAAATGTGTTTTCAAAACGAAATAGTACAAAGATATTGGATATTATCATCAGTGTGACGTCAAGGTCTGGATAGTATTACGAATCTAGCATATTTCATCAGTTACTTTGATTGATGGTGATCAGCAGTGGAATCCAGGATGAAGTTTTCGTTCAACTAGTGACTCATCTCAACCACCGATGGTTTACCCTGTGAGACCTGGGCCACACACCCTGTGTACTAGGAGCCAACACGTCGGCGGAGAACGAGCATTTTGGTAGCACATTATCAGTCAGCGGGAAATACTAACTAAAGTAAAAGCAAAAAAAGTTTCTTAGCTTTAAAGAAATTTTGTTAGAAAAATAATTTTCCAGAAATGACATGCTATTTAGATGGAAAAAGCGTTAAATTATCAGGTAACAGAAGTTTCTCTCCTCATCGACCTAAATCAGAGTACGATAAGATTCCACAGACTCAGTGATACGCAATCTACAAAAGCTTTGTTTCACTGAAAGTAAACTTGAATATCTGATTTAGAAAAGATATTCTTTGACTCCATTTAATACTGACTGACTGACATAAGCATTTGTATACTAAACACATCGACGAGTAGGGGTTGGTAGATAGATCAAAATGATGTAAACAATGGACAGCCATATTGCTCTTTTAGGATCACGCTATTCAGCAGTGTATCCAGTTCAACTAATCTCACAGTTAGAATTCAGGTGGTTTGAACAGGTTTGGCTCTCTGATCTGAGTCTAACCAGGTACACCACTGATAAGGTCAGCCGCAAACGAGAGAAACGTTCATCTGGTATTTAGGTCACTTCAATCTGTCTAGCAACTACTACTGGTTGATGAGTTTGGTGTAAAACTACTCAGGTCAGCCAGTCAGTAGTATTTAGCGTCATTCATTGATGCACGTGTCATGGAAAGCATTCCCAACAGGCTATAGCAGAATTTCATCAATAGCTGTCTTCTTTCCATGGTAGTGAAGATCAGATGGACAGTCAGAAAGGATTAGCAGCAAGGAGCTCTGGCAACATTTTGCTGGTTCAACAAACGTGCCAACGAAAGTGAAGAAGGATTGGACACACGTTATGGGTGCGTGCTTTAAGTGATATCACGCTCCAAGCAGCGCTGCTAGTGGAACCCGGACAGGAATCGCGAGTTGAGCCTCCCAGAGTGACATGAAGTAGATCGTATGAGGAGGAGTTGAAAGCTCATTAGCAATTTTGGAACGAGACACAAAGGAATACAAAGAACATGGTGAAATTGAGGTATCCAGTTGAAGCCCTGTGTTCCCCTCGGAACCTAAGGGATTAATAAAGTAGTTATATGCTCTCCACTACATATATCCATGCATTTTTGATGAATACAGGACAACTTTTTACATTCTCCTTTTAAGTAGTTTGTAAAATACAACTAACAATGTAGGAACTACTTATGACATTAAATTGTATTCTATGGTAAGTAGTACATTTCACTAGATGAGCAACAAGATATTTAATACATATTACTGAAATCCCAAAGTTCAGGAGTAATCACAATATACAAAGAAGTATTCCTAAAGACACAAATATCTCGGTGGTAACATCACTGTCTGTAGTAGTTAATAACAAGGGTTCATATCTTCAAGGTAATATCAACTCCTTTTAGATTAAAGATTGCCCTTGCTGACATGTACCGACAAGCAGGAAACCTAGTGTAGCAGAATAATTGATCTGAAAATCCCTCCATAAAAATTCTACTTACATCATTGATACTTACTTGAATATTTCAACTTATTCTGACACGTTCACATCTCCTTTCAGATTAATCCTTATTGTTTGACTTTGGTTTTTGGTTGATCCCCATTTTTAATGCTTCTCTTTGCTGTTGTCTGATGGTGTTGAGAATGTTGCTTTACGGCTAAGATTATGTCTGAGTGGAGTCAAGGTTACATCACGTAACTTTAGACTGTCTTATCAAAACGTATCGTGTTCCGTTTGATTCTGACAGACAAAGTTTTGATCTCATCTTGTTGAGGATATTCTTATTGATTCTCAGTACGCATTTCGTGCCTGAGAAACTTTTGAAGGTAGTATTTTTTATTTCTGATGAGTTTTTATTGGTGAGTAGTACCCCATAATCTATCAAATCAGACTGTGTATTTGATATGGCTGGCATATAATTTTGGAATGTGTATCACTCGACGAAGTTTGACGAGCCACAAGGAAGAAAACATTGGATGACTCCCCACTAAGACCGAAGTGCTTGGGTTTCTGTTATAACAGCTATGTCTAGAGTTTCTTTTCAATAACTTAAGATCATACTGGAGTGCACTGCAATTACTGGTTACTTAGTTTTCTTACGGTATTGCAAACGTGACTGCTAAAATCCAGCCAGCATCAGTACCAAGGATTAGACATATGACATTGGTTACCTCCAAGAGATCAATCAGTGCAGAGGATAGAATATCTTCATACATAAATTTCTTTCTCATTTTTCGTCAAAGCAAGTGGAACTATATTCAAAGTATAAAATGCTGGTATTTTACTTTAATGTTTCTTTATAACTAGTAAATGCCTTCATATACGTATATATATATATATGATTCAACAAATGTTCTGTAGTACAGAATCATGCCCAGAATCAATTCATGCAGATATCTATGGACATCAGATAAAACAAAAGAAAGGCCAGAAAATTCCTGGAAGGCTTGCACTCAGACTAATGTGCAATATGAAAGGACATGTTGGTATAGATCAGATTTGCCACGTAATGATAATAAAATCACATGGATATTAGATTGAATAGCAAGTAGACAAAATAAACAACGCCAGTGCAAGTGAAGGAGAGGGTTAGGAAATCTACCTAGACAACGAACTGCACTCAATATCACAAGTAGAGACGGTTAAAAGTAATAAGATTGGAAAGGCAAGACAAACCTTCACTAGTGTGAAATCAGTGTGAAAATCTGCTGCACTCAGCATAAAGAAAAACATTAGAATTACCAACAGTAATGTTAAGTCAATCCGCTCCACCACATTGCTTAGAGACTCACATTGCGCCTTACCAAAGGCATTTCCAGACTTTTATCAACGACTACCATAACTAGTTTCATACTGAATATCAGCTGGCTAAAAAGGATTAGCAACAAAAACACTGACAACAAACCAACCAAGAACTTACCGCCCAACAAAAATATGCTGAAAGTAACAGAGACCGATTGAGCACATTCTGTGGAGACTGTTGAGTTATATCATACCCCAGGAAGGCGTTCGAGTGGAACGCAATTGGGAAAGGATAAAATCTCGCATGCAAGGGTGACATCTAGGAGGTCAAGTGAAGAGGAGATGAAAGCTTATGGTTAATCATGGAGTCACCTGTCACAGACCTCTGAGAAGCGGATGAAATGAAGATGTACTGTTGACGCCCTATGTTCTACTTTGAACCCAAGAGAATAATGATAAATAGTAATCGTATGAGAACTGATGAATGCATTCGGCCGACCAAATTTCACTAGATGAAGCAGGTTTCCTACCCTTGACTCATTAGCTCGAAGTTAATTTCTCATTCCAGTAAGTAATAGTTCATTCAGCGACAAACAAACATTGACTAACTCACTTGTCCAACACAAGTAATCAAGCATACTCACTTGCATCACGTGAAAATAAAAACACATTGGAATTAAGTTTCGCTTCTATTCGTATCAAATTAAGTGATTTATTCTAAATTTATTATCACCTTGATTTGTTTGTTATTTGAATTTTTTAGGTTCCCTTTTTGTCCATAGGATACACAATGCCATTTGTGAATTCTTTCTAGGAATAAGACAAAATGAAAAATTCTTACTGTTACTACTAGTGTAACGCGAGAAGACAAGAGACTCAGTAACAAACTTTTTTGTTAAGGAAAAAAACACAGTAACGACAGAAGAAAAGGGCCAGGCAACAGATCGTTTATTGAGAAAATCAAGAGACAATCATAGATTTTTATGTACATTATTATTAGCGTTATTGTTAGCAGAGAAGTAACGTCTTCTGATTGGTTGTTTTCTTGCTCAAGGTTATCCTGTCATCT